AAATATGCTTTCTTTGGAGAAAGAGACTTTACCCATAATCATCTCGAATAAATTGTTTAAAGATGAAGATGAGGCATTAGAAGAGGTGTTGCACGCGTATAAGGAAGCCATAGGGTGGACCATTGCCGACATCAAAGGCCTTAGTCCCTCAACTTGTATACACAATATCAAAACTGAAAAATGAGCGAAGTCATCACGAGAGGGACAACATCTCTTGAATCCGCTAATGATAGAGGTGGTAAAGAAGGAGATTCAGAAGCTTCTCAATGCTGATGTAATCTATCCAATTTTGGATAGCAATTGGGTAAGTCTGGTTCATGTAGTTCCCAAGAAAATTGGAGTTATTATAGTCAAAAATCAAGAAGAGGAGTTGGTACCAACAAGAGTTCAAAATGGATGGAAAGTCTGCATATATTACAGGAAGAGAACTCTCTCACTAGAAAAGATAATTTCCCTCTTCCCTTTATTGATCAAATGATTGAGAGATTAGCTGGAAAAACTCATTATTGCTATCTTGATAGATTTTCAAATTTTTTCCAGATTCTAGTAGCGCCGGAGGATCAAGAAAAAACTACCTTCACTTGCCCATTCAGAATGTTTGCATATCGCTGCATGCCCTTCGGTCTTTGTAACGCACCAAATACTTTCCAGAGATGTATGTTGAATATTTTTTTTGATTATATGGAGAATGACATTGAAGTTTTTATGAACGACTTCACGGTTTACGGTAATACCTTCAGTGAGTCCTTTGAAAATTTGACAAATGTTCTTAAAAGATGCCTAGAATATAATATAATATTGAACTATGAAAAATGTCATTATATGGTAGATAAAGGGTTGATTCTAGGAAATATAGTTTCTTCTGATGGTATTGCCGTTGATAAAGATAAAACGGATGTTATACGCACACTACCTTATCCCACAATTATGAATGAGGCTCGATCTTTTCTAGGCCACGCAGTATTTTACCGAAGATTCATAAATGACTTCTCGAAGCTAGTGCGACCAATGTGCGAGTTACTGTAAAAAAATAAAATTTTTGACTTTAACCCCGAGTGTAGAGAGTCATTTGACGTACTTAAGGAGAAGTTGATTGCGACATTGATCGTTAAGGAACCGAACTTGAATTATGCTTTTGAGCTTATGTGTGACAATTTAGATACAAGTGTTAGAGTCGTTCTTGGTCAAAGAATTTGTAAAGAACCACATATTATCGCCTACGCCTCGCAAACTTTGGATTCGGCACAAAAAACTACTATACAACAAAAAAAGAATTACTTTCAATTGTATTTTCTTTAGATAAGTTTATATCTTATTCATTGGGAACTAAAGTAGTTATTTTCTCTGATCATGCAGCTCTAAAGTACCCGTTGAGTAAGAAAGAGGCGAAACCAAGGCTTATCAGATGGATCCTGCTTTTGCAGGAATTTAATTTGGAGATAAAAGATAAGAAGGGAGGCGAGAACCTTGTTGCATATCATCTAAGTTGCATTTTGCTTTCCTTAGCCAATATGTCGGTTCGAGAGGAGTTTCCAGAAGAACATCTTATGGCAGTACAGAATTCAATCCCCTGGTATGCGGACATGGTAAATTATCTTGCCAAAGGTAAATTTCCCTTAGATTTGTCTAAATCTGAAATTAATCGGTTAAAACAAGAATCCCGGTTTTACCTTTGGGACGATCCTTATTTTTGGAAACAATGCTCGAACTAGGTAATTAGACCTTGAATTGCTAAGGAAGAGGTAAACTCCATACTTAATTTATGTCATTCTTACTCATGTGGTGGTCACTTTGGACCCAAACGTATTGTTCATAAAATTCTGGAATGCGGTTTCTTTTGGCCTACCTTGTTTTGTGATACATTTATTTTTAAATCTTGTGAGAAATGTCAACGTGCATGGAATTTGAGTAAGAGAAATGAGTTACATCAGGGCCTGATTTTTTTTGTGAATTTTTTTATGTGTGGGGTATCGATTACATGGGTCATTTTACTTCATATTTTGGAAATATTTACATTATATTAGCTATTGATTACGTTTCTAAGTGGGCTAAATCTACCCGAAATAATGATGCCAAAACAACTACTAACTTCTTGAAAAACACAATTTTTTCCAGGTTTGGCATGCCTCGAGAAATAATATGCGATTGGGGAACCCACTTCATCAACAAGGTGATCGATGCCCTTATGAAAAAATTCGGAGTAGCTCAATGGATTGCTAATGCTTACCATCCGTAAATGAATGGACAAGCTGAAGTATCGAATCGCGAGATCAAAATGATTCTCGAAAAAAATCGTGAAATCGGATCGGAAAGATTGGAGCCTGAAGCTTCTCAATGCATTATGGGCATACCGGACTGCATATAAGGTTCCAATTGGGATGTCGTCATATGGACTAATCTTTGGTAAGCCATGTCCTTTTTTGCCATACATTGGACTAACGTTGAAATGGAATGAAAATATATGTTGATTTATATTAAAGATCAAGTTTATCGATGTTATATTTCATACGATGAATTATCTTATTTTAGTACATTTTGATATTTTTAGAATAGAATGCATTATTTAGTTACTTAATGTCTCACTAAGTTATACTTAACGTATGATTGTTTCACGCGTTGGTAAAGGAAAAGATAAAACGTCAGAGTGAGGAGAACTGCAAGCATCATTTTTGTGGAGTCATATCGCCGTACAGTTTCATTAAGACATCTTTTGATGTTATTTTAATTTGTTCAGTGACATGTATATTATAATATTTTAATGGCTCTCGTATAACAGTTATTATAGTTTTGTAATACTAATATTAATATTTGTTTAGTTTGAATAGTATTAAATATGGTACTTATGAATTAAGAGTATCTTATGAAGTTAATTTTATGCTTTTAAAACATTTTTTTATGATATGACATAAGTAATTATTTTGAAGATAAAAGTTCAAAATTTATTACATTGAAAAAAAAATTAAATTTTACCGGTTATTGATTGGTAAATGTTTTAAAATAATTGATGTGACATTCTTAACTCATATTTAAATACGTATATAGGTTAGGGTGTTACTATCTCGACAGACAATTGACGGAAACTACGATGACATATGACTTGGAGGATGACAGGGGTTACGTTGGCGGTGGTGGTCATGGTCGGAAAGGGTGGTGGTGGTGGGTTAAGGATAGAATTTGAGGATTTTAGGTATTTGGATTTTTAATAATTTAAGAGAAATTAGGGTTTTTTTAAATATAATAATATTTTTAAAAATAAATTTTAAAATACCAGATTGTGATATGTGTCACTTACGAGAGAAATTAATGTCGTTGACGGTCCGTATATATAAATGGATTATATTTGTAATGTTGAATGGTTCAATTATGTTGGAATCCGGTCCTGCTCCTTACCTTTCCTACCTATGCATGGATGCAATAAAAGGATATTTTTTAAAACCAAAAACAGAAAGTGTCATTTTAAAAGATACTTTAAGCATATATAACAGATGGGTTTTTTAAGTTCTGTTTTTTTTTACATAAAATATTTTTTACATTAAATATTTTAAAAAAATGTTTTTTATCATTTTTTAGTATTTAATTGGAGGAATTGGTCAACGTAAAAATTTTACTGAACAATGAAAGTTTATTTGTCTTTTATGAAAAACGACTTATGGTTTGATTTTCAGTAAATCATATTTGGAAACTCTCACTAATAAATAATCAAAAGAATTTTATTTTATGAATTTAATATTAATATAATATTATAATATCATTTTAATAAAAAATATTAATTATTAAAAATTTTAAAATATATTTATTAATATTTCTAATAATATAAATGTTATATTTTTTAATATTATAATTATATACTCAATTATATTATAATAATATAAGATTTTTATTTTTATTTTAATACTATATAATAAATTATTAATAAATTATTTATATTATTTATTAATTTCATAGAAATAATATTATCAAATAATTAATAATGAACAATATTATTTAGTATTTAATATTAATATAATAATTTAATACTATTTTAATAAAGATATTTAAAATATATTAATTAATAATTTTTAAAATATAATATAATACTATTACTGTAGTAAATAATTAATATAATTTAAAATATTTTTACTTCAATAGAATTGACTAATCTTAATAATTTTATTAATATAATTATAGAAATAATATTTTAATAATAAATAAATAAATTATTTTAATATTTCAAAAACAATAACATTATGTTTTTATGATAAATAATATTATTTAATATTTGTAATAAATAATTTCTAAAAATTCATTAACTAGTGAAAAATAATTTACATAATCTCTTCCAAACACCGTGAAATATTTTTCAGAAAATATAATTTATTTTATAAAAAATATTTTTTGAAAAATATTTTCGGGGAAATAAAATGACCCTTACTCTCTTTTCTATCATCAGAAATAAAATGACCCTTACTCTCTTTTCTATCATCAAAGTTAAAAGAGAAGAGAAGAGAAGAGAAGAGAAGAGAAGAGAAGAACCAACATTAAATAAAAAAACGCGTTCTCTTACATAAGAAAGAGCCAAAGAGGGAAAGAGTTGGATTTCCAGATTGTACAAGGGAACAACTATAAAACAACTAGTCTAAACACCAACTTTTTATTTCTTCTAAGGTACTAATTTTTTGGGTAAACTACACTTTTAGTATTTCAATTATCACTTTTGTTTAGTTTTAGTCACTCAACTATTTTTTTTTCAAAATCATACCTAATATTACGTTTTGGTTTCATTTTTGTCACCCATCGTTAAAAATTAATGCCAATGCGACATTTTTTTCAAAAATCAATGATGACATAGGATTACCCTATGTCGACTTATCATCATCATTGTTAATTTTTAACGACGGGAGACCAAATTGAAATCAAAACGTAACATTAGATATGATTTTTAAACAAAAATAGTTGGGTGACAAAACACAACAAAGGTGATAGTTGGGGATACTAAATATGTAGTTTACCATTTTTTGCATCTACATGAGTGAGCAGCCAGTTTCATCATCATCATGGTAGTCATTGAATCCATCGATCGGATCAGGCGGCGGAGCCGGTGGTGCTCCGTATGCATTAGAATACGTTCTAGGGGCATAGTAACAAGAGGCCGAGCTATGATAATTCGTGTTGTAACTCCCTCCAAATAATTGAGGTCCATAGTACATATCTCCATATCGATACATACCCTGATTTGGAGGGCACCCATTGATTGATTCCATAGGTGGAGCCTCATCTGGGACTGGGAGAGCCATGGCTGATTGGTTCTCACCTGCTGGTACATTACCTTCGTGACCAGGGTTAACACTTCTCTGCACTTTCTCTTTCTTCTTTCTACCATCACCACTTCCGGCTTTCGTGTCTGGTTCCTCGCTTTCACCTGCCGCCATTCGGTACCCTGCCTGAGGCTGATTACCTCCAGCAGGACGGCCTTCTCCGTCGCCAGCGCCGCCATTTTCTGGGACTGGTAATGCTAATTCAGGCTTTACTGCTGTCTTATCCTTCTTTGGGTCATGATGATCATGTCCAGTTTGTTCTCCTTCTTTTGGTTTCTCATATTTCCCAGGCCTTTTAGATGCCTTATCCTTCTTTGGGTCGTGATCAGCATGTTCAGCTTGTTCGCCTTCTTTTGGTTTCTCATTGTTCTTCGATCTCCCAGGCTTTTCGGCTGCCTGATCCTTCTTTGGGTCATGATGATCATCTACAGCTTGCTCGCCTTCTTCTTGTTTCTCATTGTTGTTGGATTTCCCAGCCTTTTTCTCTTTCTTCTCAACCATTTCTGGCCATGGCTCGACGTATTTTCCCAACTTCGACAGCCTCTTGATGAGAAATTCTTCATCGACGCAGCCGGTTACTGTCACCTTTTGCTGTTTAGAATCTATGGTCGTCTCATAAACACCTTAAAAATGCAAAGAACAGGGGGGTTTCATTTGCTTTTAGTACTTGGTACTAGTTTATGTAAATATAAAAGCTATTACATAAAAGGGCAAACTACAAATTTAGTACCAACTATCACTTTTGTTCAGTTTTGATCACCCAATTATTTTTTTACAAAAAAATATCTAACGTTACATTTTAGTTTTATTTTGATCACTTACCGTTAAAAATTAACAGAACTATTGATGTGACATTTTCTTAAAAAATTCAATGATAACATAATATTATCTTATAGCGAGATGTCAGTATCACATGTTAACATTTTAACGATGGATGACAAAAATAAAACTAAAAATGTAACATTATGTATGATTTTAAAACTAAAAACAGTAGGGTAACCAAAGCAGAATAAGACTAATAGTTGAGATACTAAACATAGAATTTAGCCTAAATAAAATATTGGATGCAGGTACCATCAATGCTTGAAGAACCTTCTTGACCTTCTTCCTGCAGCCTTGGCAATGGATGAAGACTTTCAACTCACATGTCTATAAAACAGTGTCAGTGTAGTAACATAGATATCTTAAGAAGGTAGATATATATATGCTCAGTGCTTACCTTGAATTTGAGTGTTCCTGAATCATCTTGGTTAGCTGCCATCTGAGAGAGACCAAAGAAATGGGTGTTGAGAGAGAAGTAAACGAAGAATCTTTGGAGTTCAAAAAGTGTTGGTCTAAGAATCTTGCGTGGGATTGTTGTATATATACTCGTTTACTCGCATCATACATTTAATCATTTAGGAGAATGTGATGGTTAGGTTTGCTTTTTTAATTTGGTTTCTTTATTTAAAATAAATATATTTACTTTATTATCTGATCAGTAGGCATGATGTCTTGAATTATTCTGTCGTTTGTTTAAATGATGACATACCTCACACAACTACTACGGACATCTTCTAGTTTTGTAAGTGTTTAGAGAACTATGCCTATTAATCTAATATCAAACACACAACATTCATTAAAAGTATTATATATATATAGGAGTCTATTTGGTTGAATTCGATTCATTTTATAATAAAAAAATCGAATCTCGAACTAATATCGGATCATAAAATAAAAAAATCAAATAAAATTAAACAGTACGTTTTGATTCAATTTAATTTTTGGTTTCTCAAAATCATTGTTCATCTCCCACCGCCATAATTAAACCAATTATAGTGGCTAACAAACTTGAGTGGGCATGAATTCCATTGATAAGCCACACCAATCACATTCAATACTATGGTTTTAATGTTTCCTCCGAATCATGGATTTTCTCATTCATAACAATTTACCATCTCCCACAACCATAATAAAACCATTTTTCCCTATATGTATATCTCTTATACTAATTTGATTTAATAACGGATTTCAACATTCAATTTTAAAAGAAAATGTATCATAAATTGTATGTGTATATATAATTTCAAAATTTTCACTGTTATTTTTCTCATGTGAAGAAATTCTTAAGAAATTGAACAGACAAATACGAGTTTGTCTCTAATTATAATAAAAAGAAGCTTAAAAATGTTAAAATTTAATGTGAGATTGTTAAAAAAATAATATTTTTATCAATTGGAAAATAGAAAAAAAAACATAAAAATTAATTTTTCTTCAACTGAGTTTTCTGTTTTTTATTTGAAAATATATACTACGAAAAGGGGAGGGAAACAAAAAAAATGTCATGGTTTGAGAAATAATTTATAAAAAGAGAATAATTAATTACAAAAAAAAAGTTTGTAGAATGAACTAGTATTTACTCTTCCATCACATTCGGATCAATTTGTTGAAAAATAAAAGTTTGAGTATAAAAAATATAATAAAAATTAAGACTAAAATGATAAAATTTAGAGTAAAAAATCATTCTGCCTAAAAATTTATATAAATAATTTTATTTAAGACTAAAAAATTAATTTTTTTAAGGGTGAACAAAACTCGACTCGACTCAAAAAATCATTTTTTTATCAATTTCAAGTTATTTGTGTCAACTTGAATTATAAATTCGGTTTTCGATTTCGAGTCGAGTTGAAATTTTAAATTATCGATTTACTCAAAAAATAAAAAATTTGACTAAGTATTTTGACAGTTTTACGATTTAATTCCTGATACCATTATTTCTTCAATTTCTCCTTCATTTTAAGTACATTTTTATCAAATTTGAACCACATACTCCTAAACCATAGGAGAATACAAGTGCACTTTCAATTCCTATTTTTGAAAACAAAATTTTATTTTTTCAATTTAGTCCTTCAATTTTTCATAATATCTTTATTTATTCAATTCGTTATTTATTTTAAGTCTTTGTTTTTACCAAATTTAAGCCACATACTCCTAAACCATAGTAAAATACATTTACACTTTCAATTCCTCTTTTTGGTAACCAATTTTTTATTTTTAAATTTAGTCCTTCAATTTTTCATAATCTACATATTCCTTCAATTTGTGATTTATTTTAAGTCCCTTTTTTTTTACCAAATTTGAACCACATGCTCATATACCACAATAGATACCTATGTAACTTCAATTGTTATTTTTTTTTACTAAAGATGCACTATCTTTTTTATTTATTCCCTTAACTTTGTATTTTACTCAATTTGGTCTTTTGACTCCAACTGTTTGCACATTCTTTCTTCTCATCAATTCCTTGACTCATTTATACTCTCATCGATATTACCATCAAAATACTTTCTTTAAAATATGATATTATGAATATATTTCATAATTTTAGCTTGCATTTGATATATTAAATAACATTATAATATGAAAGAATATAATATAATATATATATATATTATGGTTATAAAGTAAAAAAATTGGAACAAATCATTGTCATAATACTATAAATAATTATAATAAAATTAATATAGAAATTCGAATAACTTGACGCAAATTTAAATTTCAAGTTAAGTTCGAGTTATAAAATACAACTCGTCAACTTGAATAACTCGAATTTTTTTAACTCGACTGGATCGAATGCTCACCCAAGTATTGGTGTGACAATTTACGGTGTTGACATAATTGTCCATGGTAGAGGATAACCTTTTAGATGAACTTAAAATAATTTTGGTAAATTATACATTTATTACTTAAACTATTACTTTTCCCATTTTAGTACTAAAACTTTATTTTATTTTCAAAATCATACCTAATATCTAGTTTGGATTTCATTTTGGTATCATGTCATTAAAAACTTAATAGTAACGTTGAAGTATCATCGTTAGGTAATATCACATCATCATTGAAAAAATAAAAATGTCAATCAATAATTCTGTTATTTTTTTTTAAAGACGAGTATTAGAATGAAACTAAAACTATTAAGTATGATTTTGAAAAAAAAGGTTAGGATACCAAAAAATAAAAAAGTAATAATTTAAGTATTAAACGTGTAGTTTACCATTGATTTTTTTAAGTTCGAGGGCTTAATTATTTTTTAGAATTTTTTATGATTTTTTATTCTTCAAATAAATTAACAAATAATAAATTATTTAAAACTTAAAGTATTAAATATTATATATTACTAGAAGTTACAAATTTAAATTTTAAAAATAAAAAATATTACTAGATATAAAATGATAATTATACATTATAAAAATTAAAAATTATGTATAAAACATTAAAAACTTGAACATTTTATCAGAAAAGTCTTCGATTATCTCTGATTACTCGAGGCTACTATTGTTTATGGAACATATTTTCATTTTCGTTTTTTTTATTTTTATATATTTTAAATAATTTCATGAGTTGGAAAAAAATTAAAATGTTACTAAAATATAATATAATATTTTTATTTTTTAATATTAAAAATTTATACGAAGAAGAAGAATAGGTCAATTCACCGTAACGCAACTGAGTTCTTACACTCCAAAACAAAAACAAAAACAATAGAAAAACTAAAAAAATCCTCTACGATTTCTGAAGAAAATTATTGGCATAAAACAATGAAACACCTATAATGTTTGAAAAAACCTCTAAATACGATTTCTGAAACCTCTCAGTACGATTTCCGAAAGGCATGTCATCATCTAGTTCCATATGTATTGATTGAGTCAGTTTCAGAGGATTGACCGTTAGTTAACTAACCGTTCTCGTCTAAAGAGGGGTTTTTTGATTTGAAATGAAACGTTGGGGAGTAATGTTTTCCAAAAAGAAAATAAGGGTTAAAGTGATATTATTATCAAATAATAGGATGTTTTGTTGGATTATGGCAAAATTGTTTCCTGTTTTACGTATTGGACTAAAAATATGTTCAAGAAATAGAAATAGATTCATGCTGACGAGGGCATTCATATACTTTTTCGATTAAAGTATTCAATTTTTAAATATTTTATAAATATTTATTTTTTTAATAATTAACGATTTATTATTTTAATGATTATAATATTTTTATTTTATTTTTTTTTAAATTTTTTAACAATGTTTTTATTTTGGAAAATTTAAGTATTTAATTTATGGGGTATTTTAATATTTTAAAAATTATTGAGTGGAAGAAAAATATAAAAATATTTAATATTAATATATATATATATATTATATTAATAAAAATGGGTAAACTACACGTTTAATATTTAAACTATTATTTTTTTCATTTTGGTACCCAAACTTTATTTTCTAACAAAATCGTGTGTAACGTTTAGTTTAAGTTTGATTTTGATACCCTATTATTAAAAACTTAATGGTGATGTTGACATGTTATCATAAGGTAATGCCACATCATCATTAAAAAATTTAAAAATGTCACGTCAATAGTTCTGATATTTGTTTAACTGTGATGTACCAAATTGAAACTTAAACTAAATATTAAGTATAATTTTAAAAATAATAAAGTTTGGGTACCAAAATGAAATAAAAGCAATATTTTAAGTACTAAACATATAGTTTGTCCTAATAAATTTTAATATTTTATTCCACTTAATAAATTATTTCAAATTTAAACTATAAAATTTTGTAACTAATAAAAATATAAAAGTTTATTATATTTTTTACTCAAAATATATTCAATGAAGAACGATTGACTCACGTCGATGAGAATCAAAAACTTTTCTGATATTAATAAAAAAAATCTGTTTTGATAAAATTGTTCAATTTTTTAATATTTTATAAATATTTTAACAATTTATAATTTGTTGTGATATTTTTAAAATTTAATTTAATTTTTACTAGTATTTGATTTTTTATTATTTTTAAATATTTAATATTTATTAAATTTTATAATATTAAATATTTTTTAGTTTTAATTTTTTAAAGAAAAAATAAATCTTCAAATTTATAAAAAAATAATTAAACTTTTTGATTTTTTAGAGAATCAATTAAATACATTTACACACCATTATCTACTATGAAATATCACATCAACATCGTAGATCACTACGTTAATATCGTGAAATTTAATATTAATATCATAACGATCAAATAATTTTTTATTGATAAAAGACTATATTAATTTCTATAATTTAAAGATCACATTAAATATAATACAAATGTAGAAGTTTATAGGCTTCATGAATTGTTGCCTTTATTAATCTAGTGATAATATTTATTCTAAAGATTCTCGATCGTTTAACAATAAACCCGAAACATCTAAAAATAACAACAATTCGATTAACTAATGAGGTAACTTACTTC